CTGACTGGCGTAACACCTAACGCGTATGAAATGGTTCTTATGGTAGATGCGGATACGTCTGTTAAACCTGATAGCATCAGTCATATGGTTGCAGCTATGGAACGTGATCCTAAAGTTATGGGACTTTGTGGAGAAACAAAGATTGCAAATAAATTTACTAGTTGGGTTACCATGATTCAAGTATGTCAAAAAGTATTGAAGATTCCTATAATATTCTTAATTTATGATAGCTAACAAAATTAACCTAATTTAGGTATTTGAATATTATATTTCGCATCATCTAGGAAAATCCTTTGAATCAATTTTCGGTGGTGTTACTTGTTTACCTGGATGTTTTTGCATGTACCGTATCAAAGTGCCAAAGTATGATGGTCACATGGTACCAATCCTTGCGAATCCAGATATTGTAGAAGTATATTCTTCAAATAACGTAGAAACGTTACATCAAAAAAATCTATTACTTCTTGGAGAAGATCGTTATCTTACAACCTTAATGTTACGAACATTCCCAAAACGAAAAATGATATATGTACCCAGTGCTATATGTAAAACTGTAGTACCAGATAGTTTCAAAGTTTTACTATCACAACGCCGACGATGGATTAATTCAACATTACATAATTTAATGGAACTTATTTTAGTACCACAGCTTTGTGGTATATTTTGCTGTTCTATGCAGTTTGTAATTTTCTTGGAATTGGTTGGAACTGTAGTATTACCTTCATCGCTCTTGTTTATGATATATTTGGCTTTTTCAGCCATGAGTGGTACTGACGTGTCAGTGCCCCTTTTATTTATAGCTTCCACGTATTTTTTACAAGCTTTTATGATCATTTTTACATCACACAGACCTGTGTACATTATGTGGATGATCGTGTTCATAATTGCTACACCTATATGGTATTTTATATTGCCGTTATATGCATTTTGGCATTTCGATGGTATGTTCTCTTTTTTTTTTAAAAAAAAAAAAAAGAAAAAAATTTTTGCAGCTTTTATTGACAATTTTTATTAATTAGATTTTTCATGGGGAGCAACTCGCAAAATCACAGGTGAGGATAATGGGCATGGTGGTAATGATTCTGATCAATTTGATTCGTCTAAAATTCCGTTGAAGAAATGGGCCCGATGGAAAGCTGAGCAAATGAATATAAGTGAAAAAAAAATAGTTGATGAGCACAGAATTAATGGAAATAATAACAATAAAGGACTTTCAACACCACAAAAGGTTCCCTTATCTGAAAGATATAATCAAATGGATAGTTTACCGCCTGGTGAACATAGAGGTGAAACTACGAGACAAACTTTACGTGAATATAAATATACTGGTGGAAAACAAGTTGGTGAACTACAGCCTTCAAATGGACACAGATTTGATAGCAGGAAACCAGTTGGTAGACCGTCACAAACTATAGCAATTTCACCTAATGATGATATGTCACAACATATAGTTCCTTCTTTTGGTCATGGTGGATCTCAGTCTAGGCCATTGCCTAGAGTACCTTTATCCAGAACAAATTTTGAAATGAATGGAAAGCCTATTGGACCTAGGTCACCTGAATCCAATAAAGGTTATGGTGACCCAAGTATAGTTTAATCTTTTTTTAAAGACTTTTATTAATTGCATACATATTTATATATTTATATATATGTATGAGAAATATGTAATTTTAATATATAGATGTTAAAAACAATATATTATTTTGTAAATTATACTGTGAAATATAACTTTTTGTTAAGAGTAAATTTGTCACCAGGGGTGACAGTATTAAACCAATCATGTTTGATCAGATATAATGTTAATAATTGGGTCACCAGTAATTTTTTTTTTGTTTTATAAAAAATATGTATGTATAATTAATAAAACTAATATGAAGTACTAGTCTATTTTGGTTCAGGTTTTGTTATTATAGTCTATAGTCTTAAGAGTTAAGAGTTAATTGGACTAGACTGGTCTGGTCTTAAGACTAAGAACAGACCAATTTTTTCTAGATCCAAACTGGTCTTAAGACTGACCCTGGTCTATTAGTCTTAGGGTTAAAATGCATATTTATTATTGTTAGTAAATTACGTATTATTATATGAACGAGCCGTATGGTCTAGTGACTGGACTCGTCAACGTGAGATTCGAGTATTCGAATTTATCACGATTCGAATCATAAAATTTTAACTCGTGAGTTATTCGCGAGTTAATTATAGTGTAATTACGTACGTATGAAATTTAAAATTAAGCATTGCATTATAAAAAATTTGTAATTAACGTAGTTTATAATTACGTAATTATAATAAATTATTGCAATTGCGGATTTTTATCAATCAATTCATCGTACAAATATGGAGCCAAACAGAATTGGTGAGCAAATGATGCTTTTAAAGAATAATATGGATTTATTAGATACAATATTTCCAGCTTACGAATAATTAATATGCACTGTATCTGTGCTTTAATTGTAATTTATAATATTTGTTTTTATCATTATAACCAGCCATATTTGCTTTTTTACTGTAATCACAATTTGAAATATATTTAATGTATTAGCTTTGCTTTTTGTGTAATTCGCGATTTGAAATCTATTTATTGTATATTAGACTGCTTTTGATTGTAATTCGCAGTTTGTATTAGATTTGCTTTTTATTGCATACAAATAAGCTCGAAGAAATAACTCGATCATATAATTCGAAAGATTCGAATACTCTTGAGTTTAATTAGCGAGCCACGAGTCAACACGAGTCCAATAGATGCAAAAATAACATACCGTATTGTCGCGAAATAACGGGCGTGGGTGTTATTTAGAATAATTGCCCGAATTAAACTTAATTTAGGCTGAAATTCGTAATTTCACCCTTAGTTGTCGATCCTGAAATTTCAAGAATCCATAGTGTTTTCACGTCAAGACTTTTTTAGATAATGTCCAATGTCCAAACGTCCACATGTCCAAGAATGTCCACAGCATATCAAGCTTCAAAAATTAATATATTAATTTAAAAAATTTATGATTATATATTTTTTATAGTGCTGTTTATTTTTATTTAGAAAGTTAATAAAATTTTAAGTAATTTTAATTTATTTATTTGTCCTTTTCTTTTCTACGCTACGTCAGTTTTTTTCTTTTTGATTTATTTAAAAATTTTTTTATATGTAAATTTAAATAAAAAAAAATTTCTTATCATGTCGACCAAAGTCTACATAGAGTGTCATTACATTCAAAACTATGAAAATTTTTGGGTAAAAAAATTTTTTTTATGTATCAAAAAAGTGTTCACGGACTAGAAACTTTTAGAAACAAAAAGGTACTTATTGTTG